ACCACCGCCATTACCGAGAATGCCGTTATTCAAAACAACAATAGATAATACTATTAGTCCCGCTTACTGGAAAGACAACCTTAACTTAACAGTAAATGATATTAAATTTCAATTTTATTTAAGAGGAATTCAAGTGCCAGAAGAAAGCGAAATACAAGAAGAATTGAAACACAAAGGCAGAGGCAAGGCGAGAACATACAAAGAATATTTAACAGATATGATTTTAGACACTATTGATAATGGCGGGTGGATAGTAAATTTAGGCAAAGGTAGAATAGAAGAACTCAAGGCAAGTTTTAAGGGCAAAGGTAAGAAATAATATATAAATAATAATAATAATAATGATAATATTAACTAAAAATATACTGAAAAGAAAGCAGAAATTCAATGATAAATATGATGACGACAGTTTTACAATACATAACCTAATGAAACCAAACACTTCAACAACAATACAACCACCGAAATTGATGAAAAAGGGCATACCGAGAGAATGTATTGACATTGCAACCAATACAGATACAATCGCCACAGAAACCAGAGAGACTCAAGAAAAGTTATACAATGATGCAAATCAACCATTAAATATGACATTTGAAGCGTTTAAGGTAAAGGAAAACCAAGACAATATGTTTTAAATAATGCTTAAAAACTTTTGGCACAACACACACAAGAGAAATGAACCAACAAGAACACACGCAACACAAACACTGAAAAACCAACGCGACACAATGGTGTCAGCCTTTACTAAAATGCTCGACAACAACAAACCGCCAGAACCACCGCCAAAGAAACCAGACGAGGATGACAGCGATGAAGAAGAAAAGAAGTTCAAACTGACAAAAATGATAGAAATAATGCTACACAACGGCGCTACAGTAGCAGATATCATATTAAACTTATCGCACAGCGCAATTGCAACAACTATAAATATTGCAGATTTAGTCAATCAGATAACGGCAGGACATGCACAAAGTAGCAGTAGTTCTTCTAATGAAATTATTAGTGTTCATAGTTCTCCACCTATTACTGTCCATAGTTCTTCATCTGAAAGTCCAACAGAAATACCAGCACCAACTGAAGACGAAGAAGAAGAACCACAAAAAGATAATTTTGAAAAATTAAAATCTAAATAATATTATATATAATGGGTATTGGTCAAAGTAAAAATAATGAAAATAATAGTTTGGAAGACATTAAGAATTTAAGTATAGATGAAAAAACACGAGCAGACACTTTAATTATTAAATCTCTTCAAGAATGTGTGGCACGAATTGAGAAACTAGAGAAAGAAAAATCTGACAAATTAATATATAAATTACCTGTTCAATTATGTAATTATTCATTATTTTAAATTAATAATATTAAAACAAATTAATATTATTGATTACTATCATAATCTGTCATTTCACTATCGGGTAATTTCGTTGATGCATTGCTACATATATCATCTATTAAATCTTCTTCATCAACAAAATTATTTTGAAATCTTAATAATTCCTCGTCTGTTGGTCGTCTTTTTAACACTTTATAAAGTTTATGTATCCAAGAATTAGTATGAAAATTATAATTACCTCTACGATAAAATCCACCACATCTACATAGTTTCATTGACATATTATTATATTATATTAAATTAGAATATCTTTATTCATCATTCGTAATTTGAAACGCCTGTTCAAATCTGATATGAAACATTTTGTTAATGTCTTTAGCATTCATATTCACGTAGAAGAAACTATAAGGTGCGTCATTAACGGCTTGATGATACATATCTAATAATTGCTGTTTATCAACAATGGCGCTATTTTCTTCAATAAAACTCATTAACTCACTTGCATTTTTCAACCTAAAAATATATAATGAACTGGCATTTAAACGAATGATAGGCGCTAAAACATTATATTTTTGTGTTGAACAAATTACACTTACTGCATCGTGCCTGCCTCTTGTAAAAAGCCCGTGTAATAATTTACTATATCTAACAAATTTAGGATCGTCTGCGTGGTCATCTATAACGATTAATATTGAATGCAGTTTCTTTATCTTTTTAGATTTCATATAATTAATTATTTTCTTCTGTCTTTCAATTACATTTTCTAAATCACTTGGATTATAATTATCAAAATATATTTGTTCTTTTTCATCATCTACGTGCAATTCATCCCTGATGTATTTTTTAACTTCTGTAAAAGTTGGGTCATTATGAACGCTGGGGGAAAATATAAATATTCTTGCAAATGAATTTCTATAAACATTTAAAATAAGATTCTGAACTAAAACTGTTTTGCCTCCCGTCGAACTCGCAACTATAATACTTCTAAATGGTAATTTTGGCACGTGCTCATATTTGGATTGTTTGAATTCATATTCAGTTATGTTTATTGGTTTTATTATTGGGACATCTGTCATAGTTGATATTAAAGAAATATAGAAAATTATATTTAAAAATTAACTTGTAATTAATATTAAATGGAACATCATTATGTTATGAGTGGCGGTGAATAACATAATGGAACAGGTGTCCATTGCTTCAATCAATAAGCATTGAAGATAATTAGTTTTGTGTCTTGCTCGCGTGTGCAATGGAAAAACCCAAGTGCTGTGCCCCACCAATATTCTATTATGCATGAAATAATAAGATTAATTAGAATAATTTATCTTATTATTTAATATGGATAGAAGTTATTCAGATTATATTGATATAATAGATGAAGTAGAGAATATAGAACAAGTAATAATAACTGACAACAGATGTAACAAAGTATGCTTTTATACATTAGAATTAATAAAATTAGGAATACAATATATCAAAAATAAAAATGTAAATATTAATATAAATGGGAAAAAAGAAAAACAAAAAGAATAAGACAGGTTTAAGTGTTTCTTCAACAGATGAAGAAAAAGAAGAAATTGTTAAAGAAACAGCACTAACCGAGTTTGAGTGTCCTATGTGTAAAAAGATGTTAGAAATGAAAAATGAAATAGAAATACAAAAGAAAGGAAATTGTAAATGTTCGTGTATTCCGACAAATTTCAAATTGAGTAAAAACGATAAGAAAATGAATATTGATAAAACCAAAGACAGTATAAATCTGGAAACGGATGTTCATAATATAACTTTTAAATGGGGAAGGCATGCATCGCCATCCGATAATGGTGATAACGAAGCACAGGAAACTATTAAACAAATGATGAAAATTTAGTACTTAAAGAGTAGATTTTACATTAAATCAATTTTATAAATAAATAAATATTTAAATAAATAATTATATAAATAAATATATATAGAAATGTCTGAAGTTGAGAATGATGCTATTGCTGAACTATCAAGGAAGATAATGACAGTTAGTAAAAATGTTAAACTGTTGTACGAGATGATAAAAACTATTGACGAGAAACTTGATGCAAAGGCAAACGAACCAAAAAATAACAATGAAGAGAAGGAAAAGATTGATAAGATCTTAAGAAAGGGATAGGCAGACCCAGCGGTGATTATGGCACGAAGCGTAAAAAATATTGCGATATGTTAAATAAGGGGCAAATCAAAAGTCCAAAAGAACAAACATTAGAATACAATAAGATTAGTAAGGAAGATGATAAATATGTGTATTTCTAAAACATTGTCTAAATCATTCTAATAAACAATATGAATTTATTAGAATTATTTAGTGGAACTGGAAGTGTAGGAACCATAGCAAAGTCGCTTGGATTTAATGATGCCCGCAAAATGGCGGTCAGGCTGGCCGAAAAGTGGCGGTCAGGCTGGCCGAAAAATGGTGGGCAGGGTGCCCGTAAAAAACGAATGAACCAGACCTTGCCCATAATATGTCTACAAAATTTGTGATAAAATTTATTGTAAAATAATTTATCATAATTTTTGGAATAATATTTTTTGAAAATTTATTTTTTTTTTATTTTTTTTGTAAAATTTATTTTTTATTTTTTTTTGTAAAATTTATTTTTTAAAATTTATTTTTTTATTTTTTTTTTAAAAAATTTGTATTTTTTTTAAAATTTTGTAAAATTTATTTTTAAAAAATATATTTTAAAATATGGATGAACTTACTAGGAAATTACCTGCTTTAAAATGTTGATTTTTGAAAATGTGCTGTTTGAGGTGCTGTTTTAAAATGTTGCTAAAAGTGTGGGGGGGGGCCCAGGATTTTTTATAGAAAAAAGATGGGCAAGGTCTAGTCTAACTGTGACTCCATTGATTTACCAATCCTTTTCAAAATCGTGTTTGCTTCTTTTTGCCAGTTTTAAATTTTTTTATCCACGCTTGACCACGCCCGCTGTTGACAAACAACGTACTACAGGTTGACAAGGCGTTGTCGTATGTATCGAGCCCAGCAAAAGAACTCAAGCAACTTATCACGAGAGCCATCAGCTCAAGTTCTTTGGGGGAGCGAAGCTCCATTTGGGAGTGTGGGGGAGGCTAGGTCGCAATGTGGGACAACCCAGATACTAAAGGCGAAACGGCTGACACTACTTCGAGTTGTTTTTCCTGTGCGGTGATGCAGGATCCGCAACCCCCACATCCCCCCCAAAAGTATAGTTTTTGGGAGCTAAGAGTCCCCGCATCCCCTCCCGGATACCTTTTCCATGTCTGTTGTTTTTGGGAGCTGCCCCTCCCTTCCAAAGCTTTTGGGAGCCCCTCTTGCATGCCTGCAAATCTTCGCCTCGCCAACGCGAGGTTTGGGAGTCCCCCGCATCACCTCTGCATGACGCTGTAAGTGCAATTGCGAGTCCAATGAAAACAGTATAATAAACGAAGAGACATTGCAACGCCTGCTTGAGCGGATGTTTGAAGGAATCAAAGGCGACTCTCACAAACCCTTTTGACCTTTTGCTTTGCAGCTTTGTTCCATATTATGGGTGTGTCATTTTCGTTGCCCTTTACAACCTACCAAAAAAGATGACTCGCAAAAAAGACACGCCCATATTCTGTGAGGCGGGGGTCCTTTGTCTGTTGCCTTGTTGCAAGTGGGTCGTCTCAGGTCCTGCAGAGAGTTCTGCAGTCCAGCGCAACGATGGACTGGCCAACGCAACGGGCTTGGAGAGCGGGGGGGGCTTGAATACGTTGGGAGCTCGCCGATTCCTGGTTAAAAACAAGGACATGATGTTTAGTTAGTTTGCTGTGACCACGCCGTGACAGGGTTGCCCCCAGGTTCCGGATGTAGGCCCTTTGCCTCAAAAAAGACATCTCAGTGACCCCAGGGTTGCTCCAGCTGACCTAAATTTTCGGAGATCCGCCCGGCTCCGGCGGTTACGGGTGCCGCTTCGGTGCGTCCCTTTGGCTTTCCCGTTGTGCCTTGCACTTGGGGGCGGAGATTTCTTTTGGCTCTGGGGAAGCCGGCAGCGACTCGCTGGAGGTCTTTGTCGTCCTTGACAGAAGCCACGGGGAGCGTGAACTTGACATCGGGGGGGTCCTGTGATTCGAGATGCAAAGGTTCCCCCCCCCCCGTTTGACCTTCGGAGAACAGCAAAAGGGACAAGATCAGGATTCTGACCAAACACCCAGCTATTACAAGTGGCGCCACTTGTTTGCTCGCGCCGTTCGAGAAAGCCTGGCTCCAAATCGCTGGGAACCCCAGCGTCTCGGGAGCTTCGCTGACACCGGGGGGGGGGTCGGGTCAAGTCGCCAGGTGCGGTTCCTTCCTGGAGAGCGTGGGCGCGCACTGGAGCCAGGCTGCGGGGGCTTGGAGTTTCTCGGGTCTTTTGGTCGAGGCGTAGCTGCCTGCCCCTTGGCTGTGGCTCCGATTTGTTTTTAGCAAAAAGGAAGACCCACCTTCCAGTTGCTGTAGATTTTGTTTAAGACCCCGTGTTGTTTTTTTTTTTGGGGGGGGAATCGATGGTGCGACTGGAATTGAATAGTTCTTTTCCAGGGACTTCAGCAAATGGAAGCCGCGCAGTGTTGGGGCTCCCTGTGTCTGAAGTACACCCCAAATTCTGTCGCATGCCAGTGCATGTGTACATGGGGTGGCGTGCCTGGAAGTGTGAATTGCGACCTTCTGGAGGGAAGGTACCCCATTGCTTTTTTTTCGCCAAGAGCTGGGGTCCTTTGGTTTGGTCTACTTTCAATCTCAGTGTTTCCTAGAATAGTGGCCTCTGAAAAGTGTTGGTTTGATTGAAATGTGTCGTTTTCAAAAGAGAATGTCGCCAGCTCCAACAATGAGAGATTCCTTTGGACTGTTGCAACGGACACTAAAAGAGGTTAGCTACCGCCGGAAACACTTCAATTTGAAACCGCAAAAACCACACAAAAAGACTAATGTTGACCCGGATTAATAAACCCCTGTTTATTAATAAGGGGGGGTTCCCCTCCAAAAGTGAGAAATCCCAACTAAAGCCAGGAACACCCCTAGTTTAATAAGCAGGGATTATTAATCCGGGGTCAACCTTAAAAGGAAACCAAAAACCGCTAAAAGGAAACCAACAACCACTAAAAGGACCACTAAAAGGAAACCAGCAACCACTAAAAGGAAGCCAACACCTTCAACAGGAAACCCACAACCTCAAAAGAAACCCACAACCACTAAAAAGAAGCCAAACACCACTAAAAGGAAGCCAGCAACCACTAAAATGAAGAATTCCACTCCCTACTTCAAGGGGAGACAAATCCACCCGTGTTTTTTTTAAATCTTTCAGCCGGAGGTGGACGGCTGGTCCGGCGGCCAGGTGCGGGCCTTGGAGCCGCAAATCTTTGCTCCCGGATTCTTTGAAGGGGACGAGTCTAGTCCCAAAAACACAGGTGGGTCAACCAAAAGAGGGTCCCCAGTCTAGGGGACCCAGTTTTTCCAACTGAATTGCAGCTCCATTTATTTGTGGGTCCGGAAAACAGGTGTCAAAAATCAGGGTCCCAAGTCTACATGATCCCTCGAGACGGTGCGATGATGGGCGGAACTGTGGAACTTTGCATGTTGGATCCAGCCCGGTCTTTCAATTCGGAGCTCACCCACATGTCACACCCAAAATCATGAGCGCCAATGGCCATGTGGTGCTCCTTTGGCAGCTTTGTCAGGAAGCCAACCTTGCAAACGAATGAACCTATAATAAGCTGAGGGGTTCATACCAGGGTTCGTGGGTGCACACATTCAGCCTTTGAACAGGGCCTTTGGTCGTTCACGGATGATACCATGTGTGCGACAAGGGCACGGAGTATGCCAGGATGGCATGATTGGGGTTCTGAGCTGTCCGATTGGCATGTTGACGCTCCTCCGTTCTTTTATTTGTCTGTGTCGTATCTCCTTGTTCATGTTCACCTTTTGTTTGCGCATATGACAACTCGGGGGGAGGAGCGAGTTCATGAAGATGCCTTTGAGGCGCAATCAACATTTGGATGGTAGTTGAAAGAAAGGGGCCAGACTGATTCAGTCATGGCAAGATGGTGAACGTGATTTTGAATCGATACAGGTTCAAGTAAGTTGAGCGCGTTGGTTTTGAAGGCGTCAATGTTGCAAGCATGTGTTACTAGAAGGCTAGAAGGCGACAGCATGCGACAGCCAAAGCATCAACCCATTTTAGAAACCACGCAGCCGACGAGCAAGGAGCGAGTTGATTTAACAAGAGGTTTCCTGATTTCAGGTGATGTATTCGTAACTTGAGCAGATCCTTCACTATGTCCAGCCCAGCCTTCGGTTGCCTTGAAACATTGAATTGAGAGGCTTAAGCAATGTCTAGTCATTGGCGATAATTTTACACGAACAGAGCCAAATGTATGAAGCCAGAAGAACCTTTCCCAGTGGATCCATTCAACTGTATAGGTAATCAAAGGAACCACCCGTAAAAGCTGTTTTTTCTGGGACCCCGAATTGGCTTCGGTGTTTCTTTTGAGAACCAACTGAAAGGACCCTGAAAATAGACACACCCAAATGGCTGGCTATCCTACTTTCTGGGATCCACAGTGGCGGAGCGAACGTTTTCCATGGTTGCCCAGGGCTCTCCTAGCCAAACAGGCCAAACGTGGCCGTTCATGTTACGTGTGCGCGTGTGTGTCTGTGTCTCTGTGTCTCTGTGTCTCTGTGTCTCTGTGTGTGCGTGTGTGTGCGTGTGCGTGTGCGGGTGCGTGTGCGTGCGCGTGCGCGTGCGGGTGCCGGTGCCGGTGCGTGTGCGTGTGCGTGTGCGTGTGCGTGTGGGTGTGGGTGTGGGTGTGTGTGTGGGTGTGTGTGTGTGTGTGTGTGTGTGAGTGTGTGTGTGAGTGAGCGTGGGCGTGGGCGTGGGCGTGGGCGTGGGCGTGGGCGTGGGCGTGGGCGTGGGCGTGGGCGTGGGCGTGGGCGTGGGCGTGGGCGTGGGCGTGTGTGTGTGTGTGTGTGTGTGTGTGTGTGTGTGCGCGTGTGTATGTGTGTGGGCGCGTGTGTGTGTGTGTGTGTGTGTGTGTGTGTGTGTGTGTGTGTGTGTGTGTGTGTGTGTGTGTGTTTTGCGGCAACCCCCTCCGACATCTTCGTCTTGTGGCCAAAACCGATCTTTGGGTGTGTCTACCGGGGCACCCCCAAAATCTTGGGTTTTCTCCTTTGGTCTCCTTTTGGGTTTTGGTGTCCTTTTGGTGGTTTTTGGCACCCCAAAAAAAACAGATCGAACCCCCCCCCTCTTCCAAGCCGTTGATCGATCCGAGGTCCTGGTGGAGTTCACTCGTTTCCTGCAGATGAAGGCAGCCAAGCTTGTTCTCCCGTTTGGAACGCAGACCGAAACGTTGGACGGGAGTGGGGTTGTTTAAAGCATAGTGGTTGTTTTACCATGTTTAGAAAAGAAATAAAGAGGAAATTGTGTTTCAGCAAAAGTTGGTTTTAGCCAGATTTAGTCTGTCTTAAATAGTATATTCAATCTACAAAGTTGCTGTGACCCACGCTCAACAACACCTTTCACAACCCTAACCCCAACCCCAAGCCCCGCCCATCTCTTGTTTGATCTAAATCTTGTTTCCCGAAGGCTGCTCTCTTTTCCGCCAACAGCTCTCTCAAAAGCTGCAAGAGACAAAAGCAGTTGGACCCAAAAGCTTTGGGCCCATCCACTCGGGAAGTGAACCAATCGGGGGGTTTCCTCCGCAGGTGGAGCTCATGGATCGCGACTGCGGACCGGTTGACCGGGCGTGACTCGAGGGGTAGACATCAGAGAATCGGCTTGCTTCCGCTGAAATGAATGGGCTTCTATTTTTTCCCCAACAGCTGAAAGCTTTGGGGTCTCAGCCCAGATAGGCTCCGGGGTGGTCGGGGCGGCACTGAGGTAAGATTTTACCAGGGTCCCACCAGCGTTTTACCAGGGTTGCACCAGGGCTCCACCAGGGTTCCACGAGGTTCTGCAAGGGCTGCGGGGTGGTGGGAGCACCAAAAGAGCACCGTATGCTGTTGGGGATATCACCTGAGCTTATCGCTTTGTGGGGCTGTTAAAGGGAAGCGATTCCACTAGCGGACAGATTTGTTTTTGTCATGTTTCCCAGGCAAAGAAAAACAAATGGAAGGTTGAACATTGCAACCAGTTTCCTGGAGTTGTTCTGTTTCCAGGGGGGGAAATAGGGGACAAGCTCAACCTTGGGGGCCCAGTTTTGTTTGCTTGGACCCTTTGAGGCGGATATGCTGCCGGTGTGTCAATGTTTCAATCCATGAATGATTGGTTCAGCGACTCCCGGTTACACTTCGGAGGATGCCCTAAATAGCAATTTCCCAGGGTGTCCGTGGATTTTATGAAACGGGAAGAGCATCGTGGGAAGCCAAGCTGGCAAACTCTGCCGAGTTTGGGGCTCAATGGCTGAGTTGCTTTCGGTTGGTTTCCTTCAAGGGAAATCAGGGGGAAACCAAAGGGAAACCTTCCATGGGGGCTCCGAATCCTTTCGAAGAACTCGGGCAAAAGTAGAGCTCTTCGACCCCGAAACGAGTGCCGCCGCCTGAGACTCCATGGCATTTTGGATTACTCCAGGTTTTGATGGAGCTTGTGATTCTGCAACCGGGAGTGATTTTGAGGTTCGTCCAATTTAGGAAAGTATATGCTTGAGCTTGCAAATACAGGGCCCATAGATTAAAATTGAGGAGAAACGTCGTAGTTCAACGCGTCAACATGAAGGATGTGGTTTTTGCTGGCCCCTTTGTGAAGCCTCTTCTGTTTCTTGTTCTTCAGACAAGCAAACAAAACTGGGGCTGATCCTGATTTTGCCTTGCCTTTTCGGATCAACGTGGAACCTTCCTGGGATTTGACACGCTCGACTCGGTGACTCGGCTCGACTCGTTGCTGCAGGATGCGGCAAGTTCAGCGGGACTTACGGCTTCAGCGACCCGGATGCGAGGTGGAGAGATGTTTTCACACGCAACGATACACTAAGAAAACAAGGGCCCAGGACATACTCGTAAAATCCACGTACAGCACCAGTTGGTAGGTGGTTTCTCCCATGATTTCCAGGACTTCATCTACCCCACCAATTAACAGCCGGAACCTGACGTTCGGGGGGTCCTGGTTTGGGCCCGTTGGTGCCAGGCGGGGGTTTTCGCTTCAGTCGCTCCGCGCCTCGCTCTTCTTCCGAGGCCGCTCGGTGGCGGAGCCCAGCGATCTGCTGCAGGCGCGAAGGAGTTTTCGTGTTTCTTGCCGGTCAGGGAATGACCGTGAGCTTCCAAATCTTGGAAAGAAGGTGCTGGTGCTTAGGGAATGACCAACTCCAAATGAAAGACGAGCCACTCATGTGCTTGGTGGGAATGAACCTGTTTTGGGGATTCCCGAATAAAGTTGAAACCAGCAGTTGGATTGTTGACAGGGGTCATTCCATTTCCGATTCCGTGCCGAGCGCCAGCAAGGCTAAGGCAACATGTGATTCGTGCACAAGGATTCTGGTTTCTTTAACCAAAGTGGGTGTTGGTATTGGCAACATATTGAAAATAGGGTACAGCCGCAAAAAGAAACAAAGCGCGATTTGTTTGTGTAGCTCGTTTCTTGGTTCGAGGGAACGAGTTGGATCCGGACCCTCGTTCCCCAAACTGTCGACTCCCTGAGAACCCGCACGATTACGCCGTGGATGGCTCAACTCATGTGACGCCCGGAAGACGTATCCCTACTCCCCTGCAAACTATAACATGGAGCCCAGAAGGGGGTCCATTTCCCAAAAGGAGTTTCCTTTACAAATGGGTGGGCCAGGAATATTGAGCAACCCTCATGTGCGAAAGGGAAAAAACCGGGGGAGAAGGACACGCAATCAAAAACGTGGCTTTGCTTTGGGGCCTTCCCGAACAAAGCCACCTAAACATCGATACCCTGAAACGCAACCTAAAAGTACTCGCGAGGTTCCTGCAATATTTCTTTGGACGGTCCATGCGGTTCTTCCGTAGGGGCAGCACCCTCAAGGATCATTCATCTGGAGCTTCGCATGGCCCGACCAACTTGGACTCGGGTCAATGGCTTTGTGCCCCAAAGAAAGGCTTCGGTTCGCCCAATCCCGGTTTCCCTTTTTCCAAGCCGCAAGACCAGACGCCATGGAACTCCCCGGACCAAAAGGAACACAGCACAAGGTGCCCGTCCGAAACTTCGTGATCCGAAGAAAGGGAAGCAGCGAGCGAAAAGCTACGAGAAGCACCAAGGGCCGATTAAACAAACGGCCAACATGTTTTCTGCAGCTTGAATGAATACTGGGGCTTTAGATCCATAGGTGTGTCCTTCAGGGACGTTTCTTGGGTGGGTTTTCCTTTGCCACCCAAAAAAGACTCAAAGAGAAAAGACAGACCCACATGTGGATCCCTTTGAAATGGTTGGTTGCTTCCTGTTGTTTTCCTTTCCAATGACCAAAATGGGTCTCAAGGGCCAACTCAAAAAAGGCGAGCCGCCCATTTTCTGCTCAGGGAATGACCTTGAATGACTTTCCGGGTCTTGGCAATGAACTGGTTTTGGGGATTCTTCACTAACTGCTCTTGCAACACTACTAGAGCTCTTGCAGACGACACTACCCCAGGGTGTTTTCCAGAAAACCCACAAGCCGGACACCAACCAAAGCAAGACGAGCAGAAGAAAGCAAACCCCTCAAAGAAAGAACCATGAACCTAGTAAACAAAATAACAACACATGAACCTAGGGATTGAAGCACATGAACCTCGCGGCAAGCCACCCATTTTCTGCTGGTGCGGGAATGACCTTCCGGGTGTTGGGATTCCCTTTAAAGAGAAACAACAAAAACCGAGGCATGGAACCCACGGCGCCCCGCGAGCGAACTCCCCGCAGCTCGAACGAGGCGCTGGCGCTGCTGCTGAACCTCTCGGAGCGGCTGATGCCTTTGGCGCTGGAGCTGACGCAACAGGAGACACCACTGCAACCATTAAGGGGTGAATACATCAGTTTGTTTTAGCTTTATTTAACAAGTATTGATACATATATATAAATATATATAATATAGACTGTATAGATGTGTTGGTTAAAACAAACCATTTGTTCCCCTGCCATCTGTTCCCACTTGTCTTAGTGAGTCTTGTGTATGTATACATTTTTTTATTTGTTTTTTCAACGTGTTCTCTTGGTATACATAATACATATATGCACAGGAAGTTTTTTTTTTCCCCCGTTTGCATGTTCTCTTGGTTTTAATGGACACGGTTTTACTACGGGATTTGTGCTTTTGAAGGGACCACTTTTCAGGCTAAGGTGATTTCCGAGGTGAGGGTTGATTAGAAGGTTCATGATACATGGGATGATCATTGGTTGGAAGACAACTCAAACGATTTGATATTTCAGCCACATGGCACATGGCTATTTTGGGACCAGTCAGCATGGTTGATGAATTGTTTTACCATCGGTATCTACATGGATGGCTCGGCCTTTTTTTTTGGTTGAACTGGTACCCCTTGAAGCTGAAAGGAAAGGCGTTCGGCCATTTGGGGGCTCCAAATCCCAAAAAACGAGTCACCCATTCATTTCGATTCACAGGAGCCCAACTGAAAGTGCCAAAAACGGCCGACCCAATGCCACTGGAGATCACATGGCCTCCCCTCTCCCTTTCCCAGAAAGCCGCTGTGCGACTTTGTGGGGTGGGTCTGACTCGGAAATTTCGCCTCGGGCATGTCGAGGGACCCCGAATTGGTGACTCCGTTGTGCGAAAACCTCTCCAGAAGGTCAAGTTTTGGGGCACATGGCGTCTGGCTCGGAGTTTCTGGGGGTCGACTCCCTTTGCAGATGGGCAACCCGTGGGCCCCCGTGGATACATGTGAGGAGAAGCTTCGGCTACATGCCAGAAATGGAATGCCGTGACAACCATTGGACCTCCGGAAACGGTAGGCGTGTAATTCAGACACATCTGCGTACACATAGACTATACATGTACATATACATATGTAGCATATATATATATATATATATGAGCCACGGACAAAACACACGAAGACCACTTTATCAAGGCGGGGAACGTTTGTGCATAACACATGCCAAAACCATGGAAAACGATAAGGTCTCCCCCAAAAACGATAACCCTTAGCTAACACACGGCTCTATAATAACCCCTGCAGTCGGGACCCTTGCGTGGCCACCGTAAAACGAGAAGGCGAGTCGCCACTTTCGAGCTGGAGCTGCCAACGTGTGCTTCGTAAATACGACCCTTGTACTGAGAAGTTGCGATTTTCGAGCTGGAGCTGCGGAAGTGTACTTCGCGTACTAGACTTGCACTACAAAGTTGCGATTTTCGAGCTGGTGGAGATGCGGAAGTGTACTTCTCGTACTAGACTTGTACTACAAAGTTGCGATTTTCGAGCTGGAGCTGCGGAAGTGTACTTTGCGTGCTAGACTTGTGCTACAAAGTTCCGATTTTCGAGCTGGAGCTGCGGAAGTGTACTTTGCGTACTAGACTTGTACTACAAAGTTGCGATTCTCGAGCTGGAGCTGTGCAAGTGTACTTCGCGTACTAGACTTGTACTACAAAGTTTCGCAGAAGTGTACTTCGCGTACTAGACTTGTACTACAAAGTTGCGATTTTCGAGCTGGAGATGCGGAAGTGTACTTCGCGTACTAGACTTGTGCTACAAAGTTCCGATTTTCGAGCTGGAGCTGCGGAAGTGTACTTCGCGTACTAGACTTGTACTACAAAGTTGCGATTCTCGAGCTGGAGCTGCGCAAGTGTACTTCGCGTACTAGACTTGTACTACAAAGTTTCGCAGAAGTGTACTTCGCGTACTAGACTTGTACTACAAAGTTGCGATTTTCGAGCTGGAGATGCGGAAGTGTACTTCGCGTACTAGACTTGTACTACAAAGTTGCGATTTTCGAGCTGGAGCTGCGGAAGTGTACTTCGCGTACTAGACTTGTACTACAAAGTTGCGATTTTCGAGCTGGAGCTGCGGAAGTGTACTTCGCGTACTAGACTTGTACTACAAAGTTGCGATTTTCGAGCTGGAGCTGCGGAAGTGTACTTCGCGTACTAGACTTGTACTACAAAGTTGCGATTTTCGAGCTGGAGATGCGGAAGTGTACTTCGCGTACTAGACTTGTACTACAAAGTTGCGATTTTCGAGCTGGAGATGTGGAAGTGTACTTCGCGTACTAGACTTGTACTACAAAGTTGCGATTTTCGAGCTGGAGCTGCGGAAGTGTACTTCGCGTACTAGACTTGTACTACAAAGTTGCGATTTTGGAGCTGGAGCTGCGGAAGTGTACTTCGCGTACTAGACTTGTACTACAAAGTTGCGATTTTCGAGCTGGAGCTGCGGAAGTGTACTTCGCGTACTAGACTTGTACTACAAAGTTGCGATTTTCGAGCTGGAGCTGCGGAAGTGCACTTCGCGTACTAGACTTGTACTACAAAGTTGCGATTTTCGAGCTGGAGATGCGGAAGTGTACTTCGCGTACTAGACTTGTACTACAAAGTTGCGATTTTCGAGCTGGAGCTGCGGAAGTGTACTTCGCGTACTAGACTTGTACTACAAAGTTGCGATTTTCGAGCTGGAGCTGCGGAAGTGTACTTCGCGCACTAGACTTGTACTACAAAGTTGCGTTTTTCGAGCTGGAGATGCGGAAGTGTACTTCGCGTACTAGACTTGTTCTACAAAGTTGCGATTTTTGAGCTGGAGATGCGGAAGTGTACTTCGCGTACTAGACTTGTACTACAAAGTTGCGATTTTCGAGCTGGAGATGCGGAAGTGTGCCACGCGTACTAGACTTGTACTACAAAGTTGCGATTTTCGAGCCGGATCTGCCAAAGTTTGAAAACACTGTAAAACGATAAGGTCTCCCCCAAAAACGATAACGTTCAAAAAAGTACTAGGGCCAATTAAAGTGTTTCGTCCGCTCCTCACATATATATATATATACACATGTATAAGTATGTGTATGTAGCTGTCCTGGTGGGCAAAGGTGTCTTCAAACACAAACACTACCCCCAGGAGGGAATGGGGCCTTTGTATCGTAGATGTGTAGTGGTTATACTGTTATACCGCCCCAGAGTCTGTTTTGCGGGTTCTCTAGATCGAAGGTGAGGTCCTCGCCCTGCAAGCGTCCTCAACGTTTCGGCCAAAAACCGCCCATAGCTAACTAAGCTGCACCCATTTGCTTGAAACATGCACTCAATACTGTGGGTGGACGAAATCCTGCACCACCCAAGAAATCCTAGAACGATTCGATTCCCCTGTCAGTACCAACAAACAAATGGTTTCCCATGGCTTCAAAGTGGTGAAGGAAATCGTCCATCCACAGTAGGAATATCTGAAGAACAACAATTGACCAACCCGCAGAGGCTAAAGCGAGGCTAGTCCCTGCCTCTTAAGCATTGCCTATCGAGAGGACTGGGTGCGGGTGGAGCAGTCGCCGTATGGGCGTCTGTATTTGGGAGCCACTTGGCCGGTGCATTGGGCGGGGGGCGGGGGCGGGGGATCGATTACTCCCAAGATACTCCCCCAAAAGATGTTTCCTCTCAACATGACGGCTTTTGGGGTTCCAGGTCGATCTGAAGTGCGTTGAGATAAAGCTGCCCCGCCACGCGATGTCGGTTTGGAAGCCCCACACTTTTGTGCGATGTTTCCCAGGTTACGCATGCGCAGTGCAGCGGTACACCCCATGGCTTTCACCGGCAGAACCGACTAGGTGGGTCTTTCCGTCTGGGTGCTCAAAAAATGTAGCCGTCGGCATGTGCTTGCCAGGGATGACTCCAATGCTTTGAATTGGGGGGAACTTGGGATTTGAACTTCGAGGGTTCTGGTAGAGGGTAAATGGGAAACCACGCCTTTCACGCCACCAAACCACACCAAACCGATCCAAACAAACCAACAGGTTGCTTCCAACCCCAAACTGTTGATCGGGCTGCCTCGGGGGCATTTGCCAGCCGTTTTTGTTGAAGGGTAATTAGCGCAATCCTGCAGTTTGCGCCTCTTTGAATCTCGAAACAGTCTGCACTTCACGGTTGGGTTGCTACACTTGAGCCGCCTGCAATCTGTGAATCTCCAAACAAGTTGTGCCAGACAGCTTGTTCCCTAAGGATGTTCCTCAATGAAATTCGGTAGTGGAAACCCAAAGGGGCGCGGACCCCCCAAAGCTCGGTCGGGCTTCGGTTGAGGCGATCCCCGTTCTGCTTGATGAGGCGGGTGGGGATGCACGAGAGCTGGAAGATGAGGACCCCAAATGGCTTCGGCTAACGGCGAAAACCCAAAAAAACATTTGGTGTCCCTTTGGTTTCTTCATTTGCCTGTGGGTCAAAACCAATGGTACCATCTTGGGGTAGGTGCACCACCCATTTTTGTCTGTGTTCGTGGTTGAATTAACATGTTCACTGGGGGTACGAGGTTTTGACCCATGGCCATTTGGACCAACCAGAAGGCTTGATTTCCTGGCTTGCTTTGCCTCCCAAGGCGCCAAAAAGTCAGCGCTCGCCCAGAAAAAGCTCGCGGAATGACGAACAATGGCGACCTTTTCCCTTTCACTGTGCCCATTTTGGGATTGGTGTAAAGAAAAAGCCGAAACGGAAAAAAAGAGCCGAAGTCATGCAACCATTTGTTTTGGGGGCCCCCCATACGCCGACGGGACCCATTTCAAGGAATTGGCAAGGCTATTTTTTCACAGCCAGATTTGCGCCGACCGAATGGAGTGAAACTTGTAAACTGCGAAATGCGCGATATGTGCCCCGGGTTCTCTCGGTGCCACAAGGGACCCAAAAGTGAGGTCATGTTGATACTGTTTTTGCGGATCGTAGAGTTGGAGTTGGAGAAGGGTTTTTCTTCAACCGTGACTGTGGTCAGATGGGGGTGCCGGCCTTTTAGTGATCGGATTCCCAAAATGGATTTGGGTTTCCCTTTAAACCACAAACAAAAGAAACGAGAATTGGTTTCAAGTTTTCAATGGATCAATGCCTCCCCCAAGATTGAGCCATGGAGAACTTCGGGGGCTGCATTCCGACACTCAGGAAGAGGTGCGTCGAGCATCACGTTTTACGTCGTGTTGCCCAGACTTCAATTGGACATGTTCAAAGTTTGATCAGAGTTTGCTGCTGGAGTCCCTCCCCGTCTCTTTTGTGGACCAAAAGTGTCACCAGGAAGCCGCAACTTTGGGGGAAATCCAGCGCCCTCCGTTCATCGGCCGCAGAGAAGTGGATGGATTCCACTTGCCAACCACTGAGGAGACAGATCGTTTCAGTTGCTGGGTGCCGTCCCCCTCTTTTTGGAGTTTCTCCCTGTTTGGGGGTGGTTTAGCCCGAGAAGTCCAAGGAAACGACATCTTGTGGGAGTGTTATACGAGACAAGCCCCGGCCAAACGGCCACAATTCTTGACCGTTGCAGAACCAAAAGCTCTTTACTTTTGACCTGACAGATTCTGACAGATCTGCTTTTCTGAAAGTTCGCAGCAAAGCCGTCGGGAATGGCTTCTCGAATGTTTAAACAGTGGCCCGGATCGATCCACTTCCCCTCAACGAATCAGCGGGCAACGTCTCGTTCTGGGGGTCAACCCGGCTGGTGTGCGAAGAACACATTCACATGGACGCAACCGGATGCAATTTGCAAACGATCGACGTGTTCAACAGTTCGGCATGGTCACCCCCCAGCAACTGCTTGTTCTGTCCAAAATCCCCTTGGTAATTGCGGTAACCAACCAGCAATGATTGCTATGGACGCGGGTGCTGGCTGGTTTAGCTTTGAGCCATTTGGGCGTGTCTTAGTTTTCAGACTTGGACTCCCTTGGCTTCCCTCCACCCCCCCACCCCACCCAAAAAATGAAGAAAGAACAGAAAATCAAAGTAAGAACCACAAAAGAACCACAAAACAATGCAGGGAACCACAAAAAATGGAGTTGACCCTCTCAAAGAAAAGCGACCGACCCATTTCAACCAGCGGGGCACGAAGCGTTCGCATTTCGCAGTTCAGGCCTGGCAGCTCCTCTGCGCGGTGTCGGCGGGGGAGGGGAGGGGAAGGGGCGGGAGGAGTTTTGGACGTGAAAAAGAATCGGAACGTGGAGGTGGATTCGCGCTCCCAGGGTTGTGAATTGGTGCCCAAAACGGCGCAAAGAAGGGCACATCAACAAATGGACCAGTTTTGGAGGGGGGAGGAAGTGGATTTGTCGGTAGGTGGTTGGTCCAGGTGGTGGATTGGTTTGAGTGGCTGCCGGGGGGGGGGGGGTAGGATGGTCGCAGGTTTTGGGGTGGCTTGGGTGGCTTGGGTGGAAAGAGGACCTACATTTTGCAGTCGGCTGGGGGTTCAGAATTTAGTCAGAATGTATCAGACCCCGAAAATCGTTCCTTCAAGTGGTTGGCCTCTTTGGGTAGGCGATTGTCTTGGAATAACCGGCTCCCCAAGTCAGTCAGTGTTTCAAATTGACAGCGGACAAGCAATCAGCCAAGGTTTGACCAACGCCAGCCTCGCACCTCCCAAAAGTTCAGGCAGCCGAAGGGTCGAAGGATCAACCAGTTGCGAAGCCCGGTGGATCAACCAGTAACCACTACATAACCAGCCAGTTGCCCTTTGAACAACCAAAGGGGATAGCCGTTCTTTGTGGGTTAGTTTGGTAAGACAGATGGGTTTCACGGGTTTAGACTGGAGTTTTATTCCGTTTAGGGGCACCCATCTGTTTCTCCAAAAGGTCACCTATGTTCCCTTGGTTTCCTAGAAAGACAATTCAGAAAATGGAATCGCTGGTTGAATATTCGGCATGGCCAAGAGTCAAGCCGCATCGACGGGAGAGTTGAAAACTCAGCAGCTTTTGGTTTGGACGAGCGTCTTTCTTTGCAACTCACTTTGGATCTCATTTGGAGAATTTAAGATCTTTGTGACCCCATTTCACGTCCTAAGGTCATCGGACTTTATTCAAGCTTTTTGGGAAGCTGCACCATTTTTGTTCTAAGCAAACACTTTGGGACACTTCCATTTTCTTAATCATATTTTGTATTTTCACCTGTTGGTTTTAGAGGGGATCTATCACTACTGGACATATTTCTATTTTTTCCAGGGACTTAAGCACATGGAAAGGACATCTTTAGCCAATCCGCTCGATCGGACCTGACAAAGATGCCCCGCGCCCGCGACTCGAATCGGACTTCGGACTGCGGTGAGGTCTTTGTCCGAGACCTCTTGTGGCAGGCACGCCGACGGAAAGGATGGAGCTGATGGAATCCGAATACATTTCCCTTTACCACCCCCACTCAAAAAGACACACTCCTAGTTTGGTCGCCGGATCTCTTTCGCAAAACAAATGAAGCTAAGGTGTTGATTGCCAGGGCAGGAGCCAGAATGGCATTTGGAAGTGGTGGTTTTCTGCTGGTTTTCCTTTTACACCGAGGTGAACAGGGTGACTTTCAGGAAACACAGACACACATAGCCACCCGGACTCCGGGAACTGCAAATCGGATCGGGCCAGGTGCATGCCGCCGCCAAGTTCGGGGACAGGCGCCGAGGGGGCGGGACGGGGAGGCGTCCAGCACGGGGTTTCACGCGCCCAGATGCATTTAGGGGGTTTTTACGGGGGGGGGAATTCATTTTGAGGGTTTTTTACGGGTGTCCGTTGGTTTTTAAGGGTACCCAGATAGCCAAGCTGCGATCGCGTTTTTCAGGTCGCTGCTGGTATTTGGGGTAAAGTGCATGGAAAGAAGCGATCGCAACTGGCGATCCAGGCAACCAAGAAAGAAACCGAGACGCGGATGAAGAAGATTTGCCTAGGTAGTTGGGATGCACTGCGCAGGCTTTCCCCGTTTTCAGCCAAGTCAATAAGGGGTAAAAGAAAAGTCACCGGGTGCTGACGGAGGATAGACAAGCCTGGGTTGCCGCATGCGGGGTTTTTGAGGGTGCCCTTCTCAGGTTAAGGTTATGATAGCAAGAAAATCGCCATTTAGAATAGGGGCCATGCGGACACATACCCTTTGCTCTCAATGTTGTCGCCCCACTCTCCAAGCGTTTGGTTCTGGTGTTTACAAGCGAGCGCTTCATTCGCGCGATTTCGCGCGATTGGGGCCCATGTTGCTCACCCCATTTTGTGTTTTCTTTAGCGAGGGTGCTCCGCCAGATTTGCAGCGAGAAAGTTGAAGGAGAGGTACCACCATAGTCTGGCAACGTCCATCCGTGTCCCTAAAGGCTAACCTGGCAGCTGGTGAAGCATACACGTCTACCCTAAAAGTCCCCAGTCGTAAGAAGAGACCCGTTTCCAGCGGCCGAGCCGGGCTCGGAGAAAAAAGCAACACCGCGCCGGTTGGTCGATCTCAGAACCGGTCGCAGGGAGGAGCAAAGTGAGCCCCCTTGGCCGGGGTCCTTGGCTCGTTTCGATTGGGTCACTCGGCTTCCATTTCGGAGCTTGAGTCACTTTTTGGGGTGGCTGGACCAGTTGGTAAATTACTTTTTTGGAGCTGGACCAGTTTGGTAAATCACTTTCTTGGGGCTGGACCAGATTGGAACATTAGCAAACAAAGAGTTCTTGGACGTTTCATGGCTAATCCCCGCAAGAAGTGAGACCAAGAAGGAGTTTGGGAATTTACACCACATATTTTGGGGTTCTTCAAAGCTCTGATGCTGACATGTGTGCATTTGTCCACGACGAGCAGCGCTGAACGGGTGCTGGCAGGGTTGTTCCTTTCTTGGCAACACGGCCCATACAACACATCTTCAAGTTATATAGTATTTTTGAGTCTGCTTCCAGTCACGCCTATATAGATGTATATAGTGTGGCGTGCGTGCTCTTGCAGGGTTGTGTTAAGTCTCTTGGCAGTCTGAAACCTGTCATGTGGGCAGTTGTGACGCTAGACTTTCGAATCGCTGTTTGCAGGGGAATAAATATGCGACGAAGCGGAATGAAGCCGTCTTTCTTGGCCACTCGCACCCGGCGCCACAAGGAAGACGGCAGCCTGTTCCCCGCACGTAGGTTCGTTTTCCCACCCTTAGGATTCAACCCACCACCAAGAAAAATGGTGGGGTTTATATAACCGCCATGGTTTACCTAAGGATTGTCATCTGAACTGGGTCCCAAGGCCAGTCTTATGGGGCAACCCTAGGGTTACCCTAACTGGCGGAACCGGCATCTTCTTTACCATGCGGAGCGTGTTTTTCACCAGAGGACCGCTCTCACGTCCTGGGTGCCAGGTATTGGATATATTACAACATTTGCAGATCATTGGTTGGGGTTCGTGTGACTGTGGCGTCCCGCTGGACCGATGGAGCAAATGTTGAGCGTTGTGGTTAGCTTTGCAAGCCCTTTGCCAAGGCAGCTAGGGTGTGTCTCACTTCAGCAAGCACAACAAGTCGGCAACGCCTTTTACATCACACAGGAAGCCCACCAACAGGTGCCCAAGATGTATGTGTCAAGTCTAATCTACCTTTTGTCTATTTCAGGAGGCAACCATCACGTCAACCTTTTGCTGGGATCCCAGCGACCAACCATGAGACGAACACATCGATAAGCGGAGCCGGTCATTTGAAAACGACTCAGTACTCATGTGAGTGAACAATGAGAGCAACCAGACGATCATAAACCAACAAGTACCCAATGCCAAGTCGTCTTTCTCGCTGGAGTTTTGCGGGGGAGGGGTCCATTTTGCAACATCCTTCATTTAGGGTATGCCTGGACCCTCAAACAACCCTCCCAACATTCTGGGGTCAACCCTTTTGTGAGGCTGGTTTGAGGGTCCAGGTGGTGGTGTTTCCTCTTGTTTTCCGGGTGGTTCGGTCTGCAAAAAGGTCTCCACGGCACCGGAAGCCTCCGGTGCCTTCTGAAGCGATCGATTCGAGGCTGCAGCTGGCCCTCCATCTGCTGCAGGCCCAGTGGGCTCCTCAGTTCGGTTCCGGAAACCGGGAAAAAAAGAGGGCAGGGACGGACACGAAAATATGGGACTCGGAGAGTCGAGTTAAGCTCCTTGGATCTTTTTTGTTTTTGGATGGGTCACTGGATGTCCAGCCGCAGACATGAAATAGAGAGTTTTTACGGAAGGGCCGCCCAAGGGGGGATGTAGTTTTACAGCTCCAATGCTTTCCAAACACTGTAAGTACCGAATGCTTCTCTGCGTGCGCAGTCGCTGGATTTTCCAGACATCAAAAGTTAAGATCAAGTTGCCGGGCTCCATTCAAACGATAGATTTCCACTTTTGGAGGTTTCAGATAGGGACATGGTTCAGACACACTGTAATTCCATTTCCGGATTTTTCAAGGATTATCAGCCTTGTGATCTTAAACGACAAAAACCACCAGGCTCTTGGAGCACAACTTTGGCTTGGGGCACAGAGGAGTGTGTCTTTTTGTTGAAGGTGCACATTTTTTGGTGGTCTGAAGGGACATCAAACGGAAAACCACATTTTTGGTGGTCTTCAAGGGGCATCAAAAGGAAGCCCACTATTTGGTGGTCCAAGTCAGTCCAAGTCCTCAAGGGGAGCCCAGATGGCCGTGCAACTGGTCGCGCGAGGCCCCGCTTCGCGAAGTTCCACAGCGCAATGTGCGACTTCGTCGCCCACTGCCGGGGCCCCCGAGCGAAGCCCATCCGAAGTCGACGGCCGGAAGAAGTCGTTTCGCCTGGGTTGCGTTTGGGTTGGATCTTTAGACTTTAGCTTTGTGGGAAACCAATGGTTTTCTATTGAGCCCATAAAAAAGAAGACTTTTTGCCGAGGGCTCAACAGCAACCAAGTCGCGTTGTTGTCACTGCAATTCGGAGTTTGTGGAACACCTGTTTAACCCGCTAATGGTCCATGGTCCCCTTTTTGATTGTGGGAGAAAACAGATGGCGATTCCTGGATGACCTGGTTGTCTCAGAATCTACCAGATCCATCATTTTGAACCAACAGGACACATGTGTTTCCAGCCGCAGCCTCCGCCCCTCGGCAAAAGAGTATCTTTTTGTTTGACTCAAGAAAGAAATCGACTAACGATGTGCCAGAATAGGGTTTATTCAGGAGTAAGCTAGAAATTATTCACTTACCAACGAATTGTGCACTGGAAGTTTGGGGGGGTGGTTCTCTAATCCAAATCCAGAAGCGGTACCGACTGAAACGCAACCACATATATTTTAGCGCCTCCGGCTCAGGCCGCCGACATCACAAGGTTGTCGTGGGGGGGGGGGGGGGGGAGGGTGGAGCGGTAGTAGGCATGATAGACGGCCAGGGTTGTCACGCGCTGATGCTTGTAGCTCGGCGTTGTGGCGCGCGGCTGTGTGTAGCCGTTGCTTGTAGCACGGCGCGGGCAGTGCGCGTAGGCCAGGCCGCCGTCCACGTCGTGCAGGGCAAGGGCAGCCGCTCACGTCAGAGGACGGCAAGTGCGCCTGCGGTAGCGTTACATGTCTGGGTGTGGCTGCTGCCATCCAAAGCTGCAACAAAGACCACACACATCTCCCGAGCAACGGTGGTTATCGTGAACAAATGAAGGCGATCGAACGGCAAGCAGCCAAAATTGGTGGATGCGGGCCACGCAGCTATCGCAGTGTTGCCTCAGCCCGCGATCCACTTCGTGCAGGGCAAGGGCTGCCGCTCATGTCAGAAACTGGGTGCGGACTAGACAAACCTCACACTGCTCACTGCAGAGCTTGCCGCTATTGGCGGAGTGGAGGCCTTGCTGGCGGATGCTGTGGACGATGGCGGCATCATTCTTGCAGCTCGGGAGTGTTTCTGTGCTGCCGCGCAAGTAATGCATATGAACCTTGATTTATGTGTCCAGGGCCCCCATCCGAGAACTTGGCGTCATCTTCAGAGCCATCCCAGTTTCAGGAGTTCCTTAATTCCTTACCCTACCAAAGCAGCCTGTCAAAGCAGCAAATCTCTAGTTACACGCGCTCCAAATAGAATCTGCAACTTATCGTTGGCTTCCAATGCCTGCAGTCGGCGACTTGCAAAGAGCTTGCCATTCACATGAAAGGTTGGAACACCCGCTATGCCTCGTTTCAGACCTCGTTACATTGCCGTTACGTACCTCGTTACAGGCCCAACCCCAGCCCGGGCCCGCGAATCCCCCTTTTTGCCACAGCTTGGATTGCATTGAATGGTTGCGGCTGGTACACACCTTGTTACAGACCCAACCCCAGCCCGGGCCCGCGACGCTTGCGCTGAAGAGCTTAAGCTGGAGTTGCGGAGGCGCGCTTTGCGTACTGCACTGTGCTTTGCCTTGTTACAGACCTCGTTACATAGCTGTTACATACCTCGTTACAGACCCAATCCCGGCCCAGGCCCGCGACCCCCCTTTCTGCCGCAGCTTGGCTTGCGTTGAAAACTTGCGCTCAAGCTGGAGCTGCTGATGAGGGCTTTGCTTGTTGCACTTTGCTATGCCTCCATGTCACAATTCGCCCTTTCACATCAATTGACTTTGCGCCGGCAGTTGAGCGGGAGCTGCTGCTCTGCATTGTTCTGCGTTGCGCTGTGCTACTGACAGTTTACTGATACTTGTCAAGAAATGTTTTCCTGTTGCAGACCTGCGTAGCAAGGACCTCCGTTACAGACCTCCGTAAAAAAGACTGGTGGCACGTCGCGCGTCACACGCCCTCAAACAGACTCACATCTATTTGAGGAGCGCAGGCGAGCTGCCGGCGCAGGCAGCAGGATGCTGACGCGCAGCGGTCCTTAATTGGCTCTTTTCAGAACCCGGCCCGCAGATTGCTTGAGTCCAGGTTTTGTGTGACTTTGCATGTTAGTAAGTTTTCTTTGGGATGCTGCCTGAGGGGGGACAGATGTGCTCAGCGTCAACAGTAGAGAAATGTGGGTTGTTCTTTTGCGCAACGACTACAAGACACAGGTGAAGATGCCGTACACCCCTCTGAAGAGACTTGGCCCAGCGCCTGAGCAGGTGGTTGAGGTGCTCCCATTTGAGAGGCGGCGGCAGAGCGCTCCACTCTGGCCACTCCGTGTCTCAGTGCTGGCACCTTGATTCCGATAGCAGTCCGCACGAACTTATTGAGATCGAGTGTGGGTTTCTGGCAGCTTTGCCCGATGGTTTTTAGCCTGAAAAGGGTCGGCCAAGCTTTGAGTGGCGAAGTAGATTCATGGCTGAGACAAGGCAGCGGCACTGTGGCGACTGCGTACGAGCTCCTGGCTGCGAACAACGCACACGCGTTGCAGCCCGACGCGCAAGCGCCAGCGGTGCTCTACGTTCCTCTGTACACGTGGAGCTACCCGCAGTTCCAGCAGAGTGAGAGGCTGCCAGACCACGCAAAAGACCGCCCACCACCGCCGGCAACAAGCTTGGTTGCGCTGGGCTTGACGCTGCTGCGCCTCTGCCAGAAGTGCCAGTCGGTGGCGGTCATCACGCTCTACAAGCTCGACCAGGAGGTTCTGGAAGAGATCCTGATGCGCGCGACGGAGCGTGGCTTGGCGAGGACCAGCTGGGGCGCGGAGTTTCTTCGCATGGAGCTTGACAAAATCTGTAAACTCCAGGGTATCAAGTTTCTAGGTCCGCTAGTCCTGCTTTCTTGCGAAACGAGCAATGAAATCAAAACCAAAAATTGGAGAACTCGAGAGAAGCAGAGAGAAGCAAAGACGGCGAGAAAGCGAGAGAAGCCTGGCGCGCTGCAGGTCACTGCCGGGAAGGGGTGCTCTCGACCCAAGCAAGATCGAGTTCCAAACCATGCAGGCAGCCCGCGGCCTCACAGTGTGCGCGCGCGAAACCGCAGCGACGCCTACCTGGCTGGGGTTGCGGCCAAGGATTCTGCAGCACGCAGAGTGGCCCTTGCCTGCGCGCGGCACTACCTTCTCATCCGTCTAATCTGGACGCGCAGGCTGCCGCAGAGCCAAGCCCTGAGCTCCAGAACGCTCCACCGCGCTGGGAGCGTGGCCGGTGGTCACTTACGAATATACCTACGGCGGGGTGGTGCGAGTGACAGCAGGCTTCGACCCGAGTCTCGTGACATGGCCGGCATCCACATCTTTCGTGCAAAACGCAACTCGGCAGAAGGCGTAGTTTGCAAGCACGTAAGGTCTTTTGAAGCCTTGATGCTACCCGCAAATCTCACTGGAGTTTGCTGTGTTCACTCGAACGTAGCAAAAAAAGCTCTGACAGGGAAAGGTTCGCAAGTCGGGCGCGACTCTTGTCGACCCAAGGAAAGTTCATAGAACAGCTAAGCGACAATAGCGAGGAATCTTGGAGAGCTTCATGGCAACCAGCGAGCGGGCAGCGGACCACTACGGAACAGCCTGCTTTTGACCAGAGCGCAGGGCTGGTTGCAGAGTATGAGCTGCTGGAGAGCAACCCCGAAGAAGCCAAGCGGCGCCTCCGAATTTGTGCAAAAAAACTTGAACGCTGTGCGCTGGATGATCGGCGCAGAGCTTGGCCCAAAAGCATCAGCTGTGGCCTATCCGCATTTGGTGTCCTTCCCTTTGAGGCACCCTTTCCAGCCTTGCTGAAAGGGAAACCAACTTGTTGTTGGGGACACATGCTTTCCTTCTGTTACAGGAGGCCCTACAAGGAAGACCATCATGTTGTGCCATGGCCAAAGCGCCGGGTTGGGATTGGAAGGGGCTGGCCCGTCGGACTGCAGGCGACAGGAGAAGCACCGCGAGGCTCTTGCAGAGAAGGATCAGGCCATGCCCTCATTCTGTTCTCATTTGAGTCGTTGCGCGGTGCCCAGGCCAGGGAGATGGGGCGATTGCGTCTGCAGGACAAGCTCCAGTGCTACATCGCTGCATATGATGAGTGAGTCCATCTGAGTACAGATGGCAAGGTTGTCATTGCCGAAGCCCAGTGTGCAGCACCCGGCAACCATCAGGGCTGTCAGGATGTGCAGATGCTAGATTGCAAACGGGCAGCATTCGGGTTTTCCTTCAGACGTGCAAAGGCACCAGAATCATCCGAGTCGCGCCACATGCTACACTGCAAGAAGCCGTTGACCACATTGGACTGGAAAACCCCGCGGGGACTTGGAAAGCCCATTGCCAGGCAAAGTGTATCCACCCGAATGACCCGCTTAACTTGCACAATATCCGCGATCAGGATTGCATCACCGTCACTGTTCGGGAAAGGTGGGAAAAGATCTTAGCAGGGGGTAAGGCAGTAAGATGTTCAGACTGTAAGCTCGTAGGATTTTAACATGTTGGGCCACTCAGACTCCGACTTTTGGCCCTTAAGTTTCTTTCCTTTCATCTCCTTTCAGTCATGTCCAGCCAGTCCGCCTGAGTTCCCTTCACTGCCCTTCGCTTTCCTTCACTTCCCTTCCAAAATTTTTCACTTCTTGTCCTTTCCCTGCTTTCCCGTCATATCTCCACATTTGCCCAGCATGGGCAACATCGCCAACATTACTTGCATCATTTGCAGCAAGGTTTGCAAAGAATGCGGATGATGCAAGCATTGCTGGCGATGTGCCCTTGGGGGTGCGAAAGCGGACCCGGGGGGAATCGAACACCCCAATGTTTTTGGAGGTTCTTTTCGGGAAACGGCTGTGGCTCAACAACATAGAGCCCAACAACTGGGCGCAAAGACCAAAACCCGCGGGTTTTGCCCCAGCTCTTGAGTTCCCATATGGGAAATCCCAGGGAAAACAGTTGACCGTTCGTGAAGTCTCGCAAACGGCTTTTGGAAGGGGATCCATAGGTTCCTTCCCCACCCAACTTGGCACGCGAGTTCTCCACCTGCGTCCGGTTTTTTTCAAGTGACATCAATAGCAACTTCGCAGACCGAGCCATATGGCTGTGGCTCAAGTAAATGTACCAAAGACTAAAACCCGCAGTTTGCCCCAGCTCTTCAATTTTGAGCCACACCTGTATGGCTTTCTCCCAGGGAAAGCCGGGAAGACCCTTTCGTCATTCTGGTTTTTGGAAGGGGATCCATTGGTTCATTCCGGGAAAATCCGAGGCCACCAGCTCCGGTGCAGCGGCTTCTCGGAATTGGCGCCGCCGGGCCGCCCAAGCGGAAGCACGGAACATATGGTGCCGGGGGTGCCGGGGGGAAGGGCCCAAAACGGAAAACATGGGACCGGGAGTTGATGTGACCGAAGTTTGTGACTGTTAAGAAAATGAATGGCTTCACCATTTTGTCCCAAGACTTATGGGAAACAGCTGAAGTTTGAAAAGAACGATGGTTGAAAAGGCTGGTTAGACAATGCCTCGAAAAGGATCCCAAGTTGAAATGGAAGCCTCAGTTTTTCAGACAAACCGATGAAACATTCTGCATGTACTTATAGACTAGACTCATGTGACTCTCCACAGCGTAGCGGGTATCGGCTCAGATGATCTTTGTCTTCCTGGCGAAGGACGTCCAAAACCTAAACCCTTCCATCCAACAAGTCGGACCAGTTCTCACCGAGTCACCAAGGGTGTTGGGAATGACCCCTTTGAGAACCCGCTGGAACCATCCCTGGGATGGTTCAACCAGCCTTCCTAAGTTCATTTCCTGAGAAGCAAGGAGAAATGCTTCGCAATCCGAAATCAACGCTCTTGAGCTTCCATTTGAGAGGGGATTTTTCTTGCTGGGCATACGTTGATTTTGTCCAGGCGACTTATGCTTTAGTTTTTGTTCGACGCTTTTTCTCGAAAAGGGAAGGCCAAAGCCAAACCTTGTGGTTGAGCAGGTGTGGTTTGAACCGGCCCCGAACACAAACTTCGAATGAACAAAAGGGTCTTTGGGATATCGGCGCAGCCATCCCCTTAGATTTTTTTGTGGCTGGGTTTCCGTTTAACCCACAAGTTGTTCACTTGTAGCGAAAAAAAGAAAAGAACAAATGAAAAAGCAAAACACGGACAGCCCAGATACTGGAGATGGACGAAATCCTGCACCACTTTAAAACCATGGTTGAAACCATAATGTTTGTTGGTATTTACCGTTGAGGCAATCGAACCATTCCGTTGAACAGTGCAAACGGATTTTGTCCATCCAGATCAGTGGCTTTTAGCATCCTTCACCGCAACCACATTTTTTGTTGTTGGGGGACCAAAGCCACGTGGTTTGTACCTCTTTCTTTCTTTTTTTTTTGGGGGGGGTTGGCCACCCTCAAGCCCCAACATTGTGTCGGATCGCGCTCTTTCCAATGGAAGTGGACGTTTTGGGGCTCAAAAGGAACATTGTCTTCCAAGACCCTCTCAGCTTCCAGGATGGGGAGAGTAAGGCACAGCCTTGATATTCAATGTTGTAGTTGACAACATTTGTTGAAGTTGCGCTATTCTAACTTTTTGCATGTGAGTTGTTGGTTATCATGCATACATGTTTTTTTGGTTTTGGTCAACAAACAACAGTGGCATTTTGAGAATTTGAGTGGAATTGAAGGCTCGTGTCGACGATAATGTATGATATTGATTCGAAAGCTATCACCTTTGCGTATCCTATTGGATACGATGCAACAAAAGCAACATATCGAAGTCGCCATCAACATCATCTTCCAACTCTGGTTCAACCCGCCCCACTGATGGAAAATGCAACAAATGATGAGGTCTAGGAGTGCTAAAATGATGGGAAGGATGACAAGCATTCGAATGGTTTCTTGGTAGGAACTTGTGTTGGAGGACCATAGATCAGAGGCTGATTTGGGGACCACGAAGTTATTGGAAACGGAGCCGAACTCACCCAGCATTCTCTTTAGAAACACACACACACACACATCTCCCAGCGGTTTGTGAAGAAATGGACTGTCTGCTTTGCCGAACCTGACTGAGGGGGTCCTTGGACACCGATCCTTTGGTGTGTTCCATCGGCAGGAACGTATCTGCAAGCGGCGTGGGTTTTTCTTGGGCCTCGGTATCGGGCTTGGGGGAGCATGAAAGGCCACGCTCCGATGGCTGGTGATTTTGGTTGGGCGGGTACGCTGACCTGGTGGTTTTTCACCGGGGCCACCCAAGAGCCCCACCTTTCTGGCGGCCATAAAAAGGGGACCGCAATATGGGTATGACTGCTTAGGGGCGTGAACCTCATTTGGGTGGGGATCTATGTACCACTTATCAAGGGGTTCCAACCAAAAAAATCCAGGCCAACCGTTCCCCTCAGGTTTCAAGCGTGGGTTCCGCTCGGATTCAGGCCGTACATCATCCCGGCGGTGCCGCAGGCTGGGCGGGGTCGGATGTTTGCGCCCGTCTTCGTGTGTGAGGGGGCCCCCCTCTCTCTGTGGAGGACATGAATCCCAACCAAATCTTGATTTCCGCCAAAGGCTCCTTAACACAAAATGATACATGTATATGTACATACATATATATATATGTATATACATATTTGTATATATCGGTTCAGACCAAGCGCCATCTACCGCTCGAGGCTTTGCTGAATCTCTTCGCGGACTTCAAGGACCTGGTTGCGGGCTACTGCCCTGCCCTCAGGGGATCCCAGGGTGGGTCGACTTTGGATGCCAATTTTGGAGTTTGTTTTCGGTGAAATCAAGAGATGGCCGTGGGTCAACAACAATGGTACCATTTTGGGGCAGGTGCACCACCCATTTTAGTCTAGTTTAGTGGGGATTGGGATGTTCACTGGGGGTACGGGGTTTGGGTGGGGGTCCTTTAAGAAGAGGTGCCTACACAACCCCCCTTGTTGTTGCACACATTGTATTTTTGGTGGAGGGGCATGGGGGTTGATCAAAAGGTCCGCAATACACGGGTGACCAAATTCGAAAATCCAGCAAAGATGACTTTCACCACATTTACCCATGGTCAAAACTGGGGCCTTTAACGGAAATATGTTTCTCAACCTCCCCATTCTCAAAATAGGGGACCTGTTCATCCTTCCTGGCCGGGAATTGCGGCTCAACGAGTCGAAAAGAACCGACCCCTTTTCAAAGAGACAAACAAACCGTGAAGCTAGGCTTAGATCAACCTATATTTGTGTTTCTCAAAATCAAGGAGTGTGTTGGAATCCCAAAAGCCAACGGGTGAAAACAGACGATACCTTGAGACTCGATGAGAATGGGAGGACTTGAGGACTCTTTCTGAAAGCTGAAGCAAACCAAGGACCGTGATTCTCACTCGAGTTTCATTTCGGACTGCCACTCTTTGGGGGGCTGGACTTTTCCTGGCCGACCCAGTGAGAATCTTATGACGGGCAAAAAGGGATCGCCCGATGGTTTGGATCGCCCGATGGTTTTCTTGACGGTAGTCCTCGGGGAACTTTGGGCGGGTCTCTATGCGATTGTTGGCTCCTTGGACCCGGTCCATGGTCCAATGGTAAAGTGCATGTTGGCGTCTTGGAGTTCCAAGCCCGAAACACGCTTCGTTGCTGACGTACGTCTGACGGATGTTTTGCGCGCTTGGGTTCTTGCGGGTGAAGAATCACCCATGCTTCAGAAGCCACGAAAGATGGTGTGTCCGAGTTTACCCCTTTTGTTGTGGTTTAAAAGAAAGGACAACTCACTTGCCCAAAGCCGACCTTTTGACCTTTTGGCTTCCCATGTTTGGTCCATTTTTAGTAAAGGTCCCAAAGGGTTAACCTTTTATTTCTGGGTCCTTTGGGGCAACTGAGAAAAAGAACACCGTTGTTTTTAAAGGCGAAACCAGTGGTGGATGCGGGGCAAGCCCATTGAGCCATTTAGCCCTGGGAAGCCGGTCAGGAAACCAATCAGCCCGAAATGTGGAGACACACCCCAAATGTTCCTTGAACCCCAAACCATTTTGTTTTTTAAATGTTGTCCCATTTTGATTTTTTTTTGTTTAAGTTGTCACACGGGATTAGCGCATGACCTGTTTGGTATCCCTTAGTTGGTGTTTGGATTGGTTTGGGATTTGAACCCCTAGAGGACGAGTTTGGGAAACCCCTCCGTTTCACCACCAAACCACCGGGCTCCAAACCACCAAGTACTCACTTCCCGAGTTTCTGGACTTGACCCACTTTTTGGCACGACAAATTTTAACAAACAAAAGGCTTGGACTATCTTTTGGCCCATTCACCCAGGAAGTGAGATTAGGGACCTAGGGATCATCGAGCGAGTCTCGGCCACAGGCGCTAAAGAAAAGGCACCCAGCGCGTCGGAGGCTGAGAATCAGCGCAAGCGAGCGAAAAACGAGCTCGGGACGAATGGGGTTGTTCGGTTTTTTGTTTGGTTTCCCTTCTTTCTGTCTTTGTGTTTGGCTTTTGCGCTGTTCTCTTTTGTGTGGTTGTCTTTTGTGTCTTGTCTGTGTTGTTGATCTTTTTTTGTTGGGTATTGTGTTGGTTTTTCTTCCTTTTTTCTTTGGGTTGGAAAGGGACACCAAAAAGACAAGGGGTTGAAACTCCCAGTCATGACTCCTTCAGAAGAGGGGACAGAGCGTCTGTGTTCCCGTGTTCCACGCAAGGGGGGGCACCCACGTGAGCCGCTACTCTCACTCCAGCTTCCCACATCCTGAAATCCATGTCAAAAGGCCCCAGCTTGAGTTTATCCCATCCAGGATCAATGTTTTTGAAAAGAAGCAATCAAAAAAAGGGAGGGAGGGAGCCAAACAAGCCCTTAAGCCATCAACACGCTCTTATTTAGGGGAGGGGGAGCCAACTTTGGCCTCGAGTTGGAGAATTTCAGTACTTAGAATGTTCTCGTGTGTGTGTGTGTGTCTTAGGATAGGGAGTCTCAAAACGGTTTTCCTTTTGATTTTTGCCCTTTCAAACCAACCCCAAACACAGGTAGTACAAGGGCTTCAACGATCACCAGGATTTTGCTCCCATGACTTTGGTTGCACCTTGCTCCAAGACTCCAAAGTGGGGAAGTGACAAGGTGAGTCTGGGAATTTCGAGGTCGAGTCTAAGCCCACCATCTTGGGTGATCCCAAGCCCACCATGTTGGGTGAGCCCCTTCGTAGCCAGATGTCTTTTGTCAGGGTACTCTTAGGTCGCTTGAAAGTGATGTAGGCAAACTGAAGCCATGGGGGTCCAAGTGCCTTTGACATATACCCTGGGTGCTAAGAGTGGACCCCCTTCAAGTTGGTTCCTCTGGAAACCAGAAGGAAACGGTGGGGGACCGGTCAGGCGGAGTACCTTCACCAGTCTTTTTTTTCAGGCTCCAAGTTGGTATGAGGGAAAATGAGGGAAACTCCTGCAGGGAGTCAACCAATTTTTCGATTTTTTTGCCGAGGCCTCTCGCCGCCAAAGCTGTCGGGGATCTGAGTCGGCCGTGTCTTTCTTTGGGATTTGGACCTGCCATGTTTTCGGTCCTTAAGCACGACCAAGAAGGGGTACCAACTCCAAAGAAAGGCACAGACACAACCCCATGGCTCGTTTCGGAGTGCCGGTTCTGGTTGATTGGAGGTGCTTGGAGACCAACCCGGGAAAGCGAGGGTGCCATTGGGCAATGGGCATGGGTTAAAAGTCACAGCAGGTCCGAGTCGCCAACCACCAGCTTTTTGGTTGCCGTCGCTGGGATGTTGGGATCTTTTTCCGGGGGACTTGTTTCCATAAATGGGCAAGCCGCCCATTTGGGGTACCCGTTCTTGACCAGCCAAATGTGTGTCTTCGGTGGGTGTCGAAAATAGGGCAGCCCCAAATGGTTTGGTAAATGGAAAGGACTTTTAACCACGCGCGCCTGGTGCGGGCTAGTTTTGAGCCATACTGGGGGTGAATTTGTTCATTTGTAAGGATGATCCGGGAAGAGGTGGTAATGTGAAACATTCTTTAATATGCCCCCTTGCCCTCTGACGCTTTCGCGGGAAGTTTGGTGTTTTGGTTGGACCAACACTTAATTTTATATTGGCACGTCTAAGTTTGATATTGCCAACGCTTGCCTAGTCTCCGATTTCCAGTACTTATTTTGGTATCAGAGATTTAGTATTGCCAATACCCAATCTTAGATTTAATCTCCTGAATGTAGCGTTGGCAATATTAATATTTTAGCATTGGCTTCTTTACAGCTAGGTCAGGAATTTGTTTCTCCCAACAACATACTATCCATTAAAGAAAGGAGCCCCACATTGGTCGAATTTAAGAGCCTCAGCTTGATGAGTTCGGATTTGCTCCTGCTAGAAAGTATCCTTTACCCTCCCACCAATGAACAGCACCAGGACCCGAAAGTCAGGTTTTCCATGTTTAATGGGGCGGGTATCTGAAAATAACTTCCATCTTTTTAGCACTCAGAGGTGGACATGCGATACGCTGTGTGCATTTGAACGCCACGTTCAATTCGGATCGGGTCAAGCCACGATGCGACCAACATCGGCCCCAGAATGGGAGCGTGCTTGGATCTGGGTTTCGGTCCCTCAATTCCTTTCTTTTTGGACAAAGTGGCAAGTTTGGTCGAACCCACCAGTCAGCTGCAACTTGTGAAGGGAAATCCAGTGACTTTTGTGGTATTTTTTCGGCTGGGCTGGTGCTCCCTCGCTGTGGATCTGGAGCAGAGATCTGGAGCATTCGCAGCAAATCTTCGATGTGCCTCAGGAGGCCGAGTTCACTGCGTTGTTTCAAGACCTGCATGCCACCTTGCGGCACGTGGCCGCTGGAGTGTACGAAGCGTTCTCGTACGAGGTCCCAGGGAGGCAGCGGAGAGATCATTGGCGTGCCTCGCTCGCTGGCAAGAGGTTTGAGGCCAATTTTCATAAGGCACTCAACCAACTTGGAGCTGAAATCCTTGATCGGAGTTACGGAAGGAACACACACACACACCACGCCTATAGGATCGGAGGAATTTTTTTGGGGGTCTTGGAGCAAGTTTTTGGGTTCTATGAAGCGTGCGAGGGGAGTCAGCTGAATGAAGGTGAACCCGGACTTGGAAAGCTCAAAGGCGCGGGAAAACTTAATCTTGCTGGTGCGATGGGTCGGGAAAATGACCGAGCCCGGGTGTTGGGAATGAACTTGAAGGGATTCCCGAACCAGAAGGGATGGGCTTTGCTTGGGGTCGTTCCAACTCATTCCCTGCCTGTCGAACTAGCAAGTCTGGCTGTTTCTCGGGGACAGTTTCGTGAACGAACCCAGGAAACCACGAGTTGGATGGTTCAGGGCTCCGGATCCACCTGGAAACAACAAACAAGCCCGAGCAAACCTTGCTGGATGAGAATTGGAATGAGCCCAGGCTTCGGTCCCCTTTAAAAAAGAAAAGAAAAAAACACCAGTCGGATGGTTTATCTCGGGCTCCTTCTATTTCTCATTCCCTGCATCTCTCGCACCGGCTGCGAAAGCCTCGTGCTCCTTTTTTTGGGGGGATGCCGTTTTTAAGGGTTCTGCAAACATTTAAAACTGCCCGTTCCTGTTTGGCTGTGAAGGGCATTGGTTTGTTTGACCGCGGAGACAGGGCTCCATGGCCTTTTCGCCGTCGCCTTTTCGCTGAGGCGGCCAGCGGCGATGATCTCAGCCGCGCCGCCGCGTTTTTTTCGTTTCGTTTCGGCGGGGAGGAGCCGTTTTTGGGGAGGAGCAATCCGTGGGATCCCACGGGTTCCCCGGATGGCAAGGACCAAGAAGAAGTCAGTCCGGAAAGTCGGAAAAAGGCCACAACTGCGGTGGAAGCTAGGGGATTGAGCACTGACATTTGGGGGCGACACCGACACGAATGGGTGATTTGTGTCCCTCCAAGCCCAAGGTTGCCATCATATATGTTGCGTGTATTGCGTAGCTAATATAACAACCAAAATGTGTGTCCATGTAACGGTTGTGTTCAAGGGACGGAGTTTAACACATGTTAAATTGGCTATTGGAGCAAGTGGCCCTCTTTGTTTATCCAGGTCAGCGCTGGTATATATCATTTTGGTGTGTGTGTGTGTCTTTCTTTTCTGTTTTGTGTTTTTGTCCTTTCAGGAAACCCAACAAGAAAACCACCTTCTTTGATTTTGGGCTGGGGGGTGGGCTACAAAAAGGACACACTCAGGCAGCCTCAGGCATTGTAGAAATCTGGAGCCTTTCTATACGGGGAAGAAAACGGTGTGTTTTGTGTTGACCTGGCGTTTAAAGAGAAATCAACGGCCGAACGCAGGGCCCGTGCCGCTTGCAGCGAATGACTCACCCCAGATCCACGGTGCCCTCCTTTTTTGTGGGTTTCTTGTAAACCCAGGCGCTTGCCCTAGTCGGTTTGGAATGACCAGGGCAAATGGGAAACCACCCCGAACGTCCCAACCACCAACTGAAGCCACCAATTAGGAAGCTGATGTTCCTTTAAGGTCAACCAGCAAGAACGGATGCCTTCTTTTGTTTCCGGCCACTGGGTGGCTGGGGTGCTTTTGTCGACGCGAGATACACTATGGACCTGAATTGGCCTGTAGAGGCCTGAGGAGTATTTGACTAATCAAAGTTATGTGTCACTTCTCGAAATCCATCCCAAGCCTGAAATCGCTCGATTTGAATTGCCTACTTCGTAGGCCAAAGGGGAGTCCAACTTGTTTTGACATACATCAATGGCTCTCGACCACTTCACTTCTGCGTGTTGCCACATCTTTTTGCACCTAAGCTTGAGCTTCAAGCGTTCTCTCCACAAGTTGGCTAAGAATGCTCTAGGTTTGGGCCCAAGACCATAGGCGTCCGGTTCAGGCTTGGATTTTCGACATAGATGGGTTCCACCGCTTTGGATTGGTTTCCCAACGGGGCCGTCCATTTGACCCTATTGGACACTGCCCAAGACCCATGGAAAGAACAAGAAGGATCCGAGGTTTGGGCAAAGGTAGTCCTGAAGGCACCCAAAGTTAAGTCTATGGTAGGCGTTGGTTCTTTGTTCCTTCAAGGATTCTACGAAATCTCCTTCTGATTCCTTCTGTTCCCTGGCATTCCACAAAGCAATTGAGTCCCCTTCAAATGGTCTTTCTCGTTTCGAAAGCTATTCCATGCGCATTCCTTGGTTTCAAAACCCGAAGACCGCTCAAGAGGCGCATTCGCGCCAGGTGCGTTGTCAACGGACGCAGGTACAACTGCAGGCGAAAGAGCGAGACGGGTGGGGCTTAAGCGTAGTGGGTGCATATAGATGTCTTTGGCTAGTTCCTGGAGATTCAAACGTCAAGGAATTCCTAGTAATAATTCTCGGCATTGACCCTGTATTGGACGCAAACGCTCGCAATTACCGCAAACGCCTAGAAACAGAAAACACCCGCGAATTGCCGCACAACGCCCGCAAAAAAGGGGCAACCGCCCGCAAAAAAGCGCAAAAAAACGCAAAGCGCCTAAAACGCCTAAATCGCCTCGAGAACCAGAACGCGTAGGAATTCCTCGGCATCGTCTCTAGGTTTGGTTAGAAATAGATGGGCTCCACTGGTTTAGACATGGCTTCATGCCCCATGTGCTTGCAAAAACAAACAAACATGTTTTTTCCAGTTTAGGTCACCTATGAGTGGGTTGATCCTTTTTTTGGTGTCCTTTGATCACTTGGCCGCTGAGATAGGCAGCTGCTTGAGATATTTGCAGTAAAGAAGGTCATTTCAGAGGGTCCCTTCTGCAATGGGGATCATTAGGCAGGTTCTGGCCATCACACAATCGTTCGGTTGGCCAGGGCACCTTGTCCATCTCTGTTCCCACAAAATAGGTGCCATGCTATCATGCTCAGCCCTGTTTCAGCATCAACTTGGGATTCCCATAGAAACCCCGCCTTTGTATCCCATCCTACCAATGCGGGGTGGGTGTCGGGCCCTACAAAAGTGATTCCTTCTATTACTCAACCAGATCAACCTGGGGACAGAGACGGAGTCCGGGGCTTGGCTTTGCCAGGGTGGCAACTCCCATTTTGCCACCACTGGCACCGCAAGACTCACTTGCTGAGCCACCACTGGGGCTGGACCGTGGTAAACAACAAGTTTAGACTCTGCGTGGCCAATCCACTCGTTCGCAAGGGTTGTCGAAAGCGTCGGGCGATGGCCTGAAGGATCAAGCATGGCGCACTCAGACATGCGAAAGATACATGGGGGCGCGTTTGTTTGCTTCTTTTTTTGGAAGCCGCGCGAATCCAAAGCAATGCTTTTGTTGGTCATGGCGACTTGTCCCAAGGCAGCTGACACGTTTTAGCTTTTGGGCCCAGAATCACCCAGTGGTCCTGTTTGGTTCCACGGAGGGCTCTTTAGCCGCTTTTGTCCCCACAGAGATTCGTCGGGGTTCAGCGGTTCAGCGGTAAGAGGTTGGGGTCAATTGTGAAACCTGGGAAGGCCCAGAAAGGTCTTGCCCACTCACAACTGGCTAGTACGATAGGTAGGGAATGAGGGAATGAAGCAGGGGATTCCCGAAAGAAGGAAACCAACTTGGGCATGGTTGTTCTCGGGGTCATTCCAATTCTTATTCTCTACCTCTCTCGCACCAGCAGGACAAACAGCTCAACCCTTTCCGGTTCTAATGTCTCGTATCGCACGTCGAAGCGGATCCGCAATGCTTGGTCCCCGCAACAATGGGCCACCCCCAAAGACATAGTAAA